CCGCCGCCCCGCCTCGACGCCTGCAGACCGTTCTTCTTAGGTTCCGTCTCACGGCGTTTTAATTTATTTTCACTGTCACACGCATAGATCCCGGAGGCACCAAGGCCTGAGAGCATCGACGTGAAGTCCCGCGTGTCCAACGCGCATAGGCCGTACGGCGTCCACGCGCAGACCTAAACTGATCCGAAAGCCCCCGCTTCCACTGCTAGGGCTTTGGCAGCTATGGAAGAACCAAAATAACGTGAAGAACATCACAGAGAGTGCAGTGTAGCTTTAGTTTTAAAAAAAGGAAAGAAAAAAAATTCCCCCCACTGCATGAAGGATTTGGATGTCATCCAACTTTATATCAAGAAACTGGACAAGTTAAGAGCAATCACAAACTGGAATATCGCCTTAAAAATCAAACTGCACGGAGCAAGCTGAAACTGAGACAAGATTATATCTTTTAATTGATCTAAAGAGTTGTAAATAAATTGTTCTTGACATATCTAGACAGGGGTAAAAAGGTTTCTTTGAAACATTTAGAACTGTTCGCCCATGACATGTTTCCACGGCTCACCCGTGGCATCCATCACCCGTCTTAGCAGTAACGTTCCCTGCATACTGCAGGATGAGCTAGAAATTAGTGAATTCATTGATGTGATGCCATTTTTACTGCCATTTCTGTAATCACATTTCTGTACATTTTCAGTGGTAGAAAAGGTTTAAAAATTGTGTCCTAGGGAACAGTTTGCCGTAAGTCCGAATTTTGCAGTTTAGCTGATAGATCTTAATTGGTTTTCATCTAAAATAATAATTTTATAATTGAAGGACCACAATTCCTTACATCAAGATTGGCAACGCTGCAGTTCCTTTATGAGAAGGCTTTCCTGTTGTCTCAGGGTCAGAGATAGGAGCTTCTTTGACAGCAGTGCTTCATTTCATTTGTTTCGTTATCTTTAAAAATCCTCTTTCCATTACTTCACTTTCACTTTGATAGAGCAAAGTATTTCTCAGATTATAATGACTCCCTAATATTAAAAAATCATTATTAGGACCAATTTATTTTCATTAAAGAACATGGATCTTCTTAGCATTCCTTTCTGCTTATCTTTCTTATTCTTTCTCCGTCTATTTCCATTTGGTTTGCTTTTTTGTCTAGATATTTCTGTTTATCTTCCTCTTCCATGGTGGATCCTCTAGTAAAATCCTAAAGCTTGCCTTTCCTCTGCTGTTTTAATATTTCTTTGTAAGACGTTACCTTCAGTTAATTAGCCATGCACTTACTTGTAGCTACACATATTAAAAGGCAAATGCTTCTCTTTAATAAGAACTGAATGAAAGAAAGAGGCTTCATCCTTCCCATATTCTGCCCCTCACAAGAGTTCAAATGCAAATAAGCCTCACCTCCCTGCACTTGAAGTCAAGGAAGTAAAGAAGGAGATGAGGTCCATCACTGGAGGTCACACATAACAGCCTCCCTCAGCTGACTCTTCCTCTCTTTGTAACTGCAGTTTCCTGAGCACTAGCTGTTTAATTTCCATCAGGCATAGGAACAGTTCAGTTGTTTGACAAGAGGAGAATATGCTTGAAAGCCTCAAGTGAAGAGTCTTGCAGCTTGTAAAACAATTTCCAAAAATGAAACCCATTCATCATAAACAAAAGCACAAACACATGTAGCAGTTTACAGTACTTTTGGTTTAATCTCAATTAGTCTTTCTCCCCTGGACTAGAAATCCAGTATAGTTTGCCATTAATTTATTGAATCTGGTTTTGGACAATGCTTCTGTAGTGTAGCTGCACGTCCCGGTACTGTATCCTCTGACCTTTATTTTCCATTTGTTACAAAAGGATTAAAAACTTGAGATTACGCTTGCATAAACTATGATTTGAACAGTTCACAGCTACTATTTGTGCAGCTATTGCTTTATGCAGCTGTAATCCATAACTTGTGAAGACAGCACATCATCTAAATCCCATTCCAAATAATACTTCTGTGTAGTGTTAGCTGTGAATTTACCCTGTACAGCTGTATCTCTATAAATATAATTACATGTATTAATAGTCACAGAAAGACTGTAAGTGAGCAACTATTTTTATGAAACGCACCACTATGGATAAATTAACTTTTACAGAAATCTTGTTTACTGTATGATATTCTAAAACACTGTCAAATAAAATATATATCCAAAAATATTTTCTTTTTCCAACTATACAGGCTGTGTGTTAATTTAAGGTAAATAATTACTGGAAGTTAACTTGATTTTTTTTTAAACTGTAGTATTCATAGACTTTTTAAAGTATAAGTTTAATGCCCCAAACAGGACTTCTTTGAAACTTGAGTCTAAATGCAGTGGCATTACAAGGGAAAAAACTGTTGACCTTCTTCACCCAAGTAAACAGAGTTTTCTCACAATCTGGTTGGTATTTGCCAATCAGCTAACTGTATCATATATGAATTGGCAGTATGTTTCTGTTGCTTGCTACATTGATTGATACTGAGCCTTTTTCCCCCAAAAGGATTGACGGTATCAATCAACAATAAATTCCATCACATTTTTTCCTTTTAATTCTGAATTTTTTTTCATGCAAAATCCCAAGGAGTTAATGCAGAAGCCAGCACTTAGTGAACATCAGTGTAGGGGTCCAAAATGAATAGCTGAAAATGCCATCAGCTACGTAGGACAATACCTGCGCTAGGGAGAAAAGCGGGTTCGCAGTAATAGGATGATAATAACCCTGCCATCAAGGAGACTCAGTCTAAAGAAACAGTTCTCAACCTTACTCCTGTCAGGACTTCCCACTGATGTCAACAGGAGGCCTAAAATTCCTAAACGGACCGCTTTTTAGCCCAATATAATTTTTTTAAATTAAATCTATTATGTATCACTCTTAGAAAAGGGAAGAAGCCGAAATGTAGAATCAACCACAAAAGTTGAGATATTTGTAATATGTCATTCTTTACAAACTAATCTGAGAAAGGCCAAGTGCAGGCTGAAAAAAGCAAGACTTATAAAACAATATAGTTAACAAAATGGGGTGTAAAAATTAATAATGCACAGCTGATTACTGTTTTAAAAGAAAAAAAGTCCTCAGGACATCAAGCAGATTAGAAGTCAAAGACCAATGAGATTAAGGCAGGGGCAGAGCAGGACTAGGTTCAGGCAGGTAAAGAGCCTTATCTTGAATCAAATGTCTCCAAGGTCAGGCAGGAAATTATTGAAAAAGTGAAGAGAGCCAGGTGGGGACAAGGCCAACCCACAAGCACATCCCTCCTCTAGAGCTGTCATTTTGTCAAGCCCAAGTCTACTGTGGAACCATCTTTCAGTTTCTCAAGAGAAGCTTTTTTTTTTTTTTAAGAAAAAAAAGAAATCAGCTTTTTATTTGAAATTTTACGGTTTTTAAAGTTTGACAAATTTAATTCACATTTTTAAGAAACACTGAACAAGAAGACAAAACACAACCACAACAAGCCACCTGCAGACCAAGCCCGGCCCACAGCGCACCAATCTGCAGCCTCTGTCTTGGAACAACAGCCAGGCTTTCAGCAGAGAACCCTTCGCTTTCATCAGGGGCTGACTCACCTTCCAAGCAGTGGATCACACACACCCAAGAAACTGTGAAGTGTGTGGCTCCTGAGGTCTACACGTGCCTGGAATAGCTTCAAACACATATTCTAAGTGCGAGGCGCTCCGCCAGAAACCTGACTGCTGTTCCTGCAGCAGAGGTGGGCTTGCTGTGAAGCTGAAGAAACTCAAGTTTGCATGAGCCCTGAAGCTTTTCTGAAATTTTATATTCTCTTTCTTAATGAGTTTCCCTCAAACTCTGTTAAGCTTGGGGCTCCCCAAAGATGCATCTGTCCCGGCCCTATTTACTGATACTACTGTTTTTCATGCCAAACTCATGGCAAAATCAAATGAGCTAATTGCTGAAGAATTTGGACTTCACAGAGATTTCTTTTTC